CCCCCGAAGTTCAGATCCGAAAATTTGTCTGAAATTGCTATTTTTGAGCTCTAAAATCCTATTTTTGATACCAATGGATTATGATCATTATAAAAATGATTTACCATAATAAAAATGATGTTTTTAACAACTAAAAATGTTATGTGTTGCATGACGGTAAGTTCGGGTGTTAACACTCGAAGCTAGGCCGCTATTTGTTATCAATTGTTGTGTTAATTGATGATTATGATAAATGAATATTATGGATGATTATGAGTATTGAACCTACTGATTAAAATGAGTATTTATGATTGAATCATGAATAAAATGAATACATTTATAATTATGAAATGATTTGTAGTGTTAAGGGTATCTAGAAGAAATCTAAGGTATACACATTTAGAGAATTGATGTTAAGGCTATCTAGAAGACTTCTAGAATAGATCTTGTATTAGAATAGACTTATGAAAACATGAATATTTGATGAATTAGATAAAAATGTATAAACGGGATTCGTAGACCAAACTAGAGGATTACTCGTTTGGGAATGTCCGATCCAATGTTGATCAATCGCTATATTGTTGTTGCCTTAACCGACTACGGTTAAGTTTCCGAATCGTTTGCCTTAAACTAGTGATAGTTTAAGTGTCTGATTGCCTTAACTGGCTATAGTTAAGTGTCCGAAATCAATTGCCTTAAACTAATGATAGTTTAAGTGTCTGATCAATAATTGCCTTAAAAGAATCTGGTTATGGAAATTATGATTTGGCCTTAGACTAAGAATAGCTAAGAGCATTATTATGATTTGGCCTTAGACTAAGAATAACTAAGAGCATTATTATGATCTGGCCTTAGACTAAGAATAGCTAAGAGCGTTGTTATGATCTGGCCTTAGATTAAGAATAATTTAAGAGCACTATTGAAATAATATCTGAATTAAATAAAATGTGTTGATATGAACTGAACAATACCAAAACTGTGAATGTCTGAATGAACATTATGTGCATGATATCAAATGATTTGATTATGAATTTAGATTCAGTTTATATGTATGTTCGACACATTAGATATGCTTACTCAGCTTTACCGCTGAGCGTGTAGTGTGTTTTATTTGCTACACGCAGGTAAAATAGAAAGACCAATGTGATCCTGGCGGCAGATGGGGCGAGATTGTCGGGATGGATGTGATAAGTTTGAAATGATTTATGATATGTCAAAATTAAATTCGCTTCCGCAATATTGTTGAATACTCCGTACTGTGTATGTTATGAAAAATATTATTGGGATTAATAAAGAATGTTTGAAAAGTTTTAAATTTTTACGATTACCAAGTTAAATACTTACTCCGAATGGGGCTGCAGACCTGTACGGATTAGGGTGTTACATGGGCCGTGAAAATCAAAGCAATTTTCAACACCAATGGGATTTGGGAGGTAATCAAACCATGAATGGATTCTGATCCTACACAATATGGCGATATCGTATCTATTTCAAGCTTTGCTGGAAGAGTCCGTGTTACAAATTGCTCAGTTTACCAAAGCAGCAAAGCTAAAGAAATTTGGGGTGCTCTGAAGACTCGCTTCTTGGTGTTGGCAGGGTTAAAGAGACGCGACTATAGATACTCGATCAAATCAGATTTTGAGTCTTTAAAGATGAAGAAAAACGAGTCACTTGTCGTTTTGCTAGTAAAATTAGGGGTGGGAACTGGTTGGGACGTTTTGGGTTTTTAGTCGTCCCGGTCACATTCTCTATTTATAGAAACGAGTCAGAATGGTTTGGGACACCACATTATCCTACTTTGTCCGATTTGTTTCAGGGTTGGGATGATTTGGAAAAGTTCAGGATGTTGTAATTTAAACTTTTTTTAAAATCGTAAACATAAGAAATTTAGTTTATATTATGTAAACCCATAAAATAAATTCCAATGTTTTATACAAACATCTTTACTAATTCTAATATAAAGTGAATTAAAAACATTTTTACACATTAAAAAAAGTAACATTTTAGTTAATAAATCTTATAAAATTTTATAAACAAGTAATGCGGATAAATATTTGGGTCTAGACATTAATGTATTTCCCGAGATAAATAAAACTTATGATATTCCTTCATGTTATCTTGGGTATATAAACTAACAAGTATATTTATTTATTGCTTTATATAAATAGGACAACGAGAAGGAACAGATTAAATTTTATTTGTCCAGGTTTTGTTCCAAACAAAATTATTGCCGATCCAAACAAAACGGGACATTTTGAGTACGAGACAAGGATGTTTTTGAATGGGACAACGGGGTCGGAAATCTTGCCCACCCCTAAGTAAAACTAGCCAACTTGCATCACAATTCACAAGGAAGCAACCTTGGGTCTACACTTGAAGAAAAAAATTGGTTCAAAAAACTTTAGGGTTCTGTACCAAAAAAATCATTCACATTGTTACTGCAAATGAACATTTTTCTGACTTTAACATAATGTCATTTCAAGAAGCCGTTGGAAAACTAGCCAACTTACATCACAATTTGAAGCCCTTGAAAGCCTTCGAGAAATGCATCAAAAGGCCAACCAAGGAAGGAAATATGCATGATAAACAATTATTCACTGAAGGTGATGGAAAAGAGAAGGTTAAGCGGCACAAATGTGAGCATTGTGGTTGCGGGAGCTCAAAATCGAGAAGACTTTGGGCGTGGCTGGTGTAGATATTGGGGGGCAGAGGTGTTTCAAGTGAAATGAGCTTGGTCATTTTGAATAGAATGTCTCAAATGGGATCAAAAGGAAGACATTGCAAACTTTATTTGAGATGATGATGAACCAACATTGTTGTAAAGATCAATGTGAACAAACAACGATTAGGGGCGCGATTGTTAGATTTAATTGGGTTTGTTCATATATAACCAAATGGGTAATGGGGTAATGTTGGGTTAGTTAGTATGGAGTAGATTATTGTATGGAGTCGATAGTGTGTCTTTCATATTTATTTATTTTTTAAACAGTAATGGGTAGTTTCTCCTAAAAACAGGTGGGAAGTGTCTAATATTAACAACTGTGTTAGTTTGTAAGAGTTGAGTTAGAAACTTTGACTACAAATTATTTTAAAAAAAATATTTAGTTATAATGTAAATTTAATATGATTAGATTCATTTTAAGATGTAGCTTTAATATATCAATTTTGAATACTGTTCATTTATTTAAAATTATATTTACTAATGATTCAAATGTATTCCCAATTGATGAAAAAAAGTCAAACTCTGAAATTTTTCAGGGAAGAAAGGGAGTATCAAAGAACCAAAGAATCCAGTGTATACAAAAAGGCTATACTCTATTCTAGGTTGGAGTTAGCTAGGTTGATTTGAACTTTTCCCTAAAGTGAAAACTTGAGAAGGGGATAGAAAAATTGACTTGAGCTTAAAGCTGAAAGTATTTCGGCAATTGGAGTCCCAATATCCATACAGAAGTAAAGTTAATGCTCTAGCTGGATTCCTGACAATCAGCAGCATATAAAACCACTTAGAAAGAATTCCACACGTGCACCCGTCTTGGGTCTTACAACACTTAAGAGCAGATAAAGAATCCTGGTGATTTTGTCTCCTGAGTCAAATGCATCCGCAAACAGCCTATCCTCCCGAGGATCTAAGCCAAACAGTGAAACATGTTATAGATTTCAAGAGTTAGTCGAGGCTCACTACAACACTGCTTCAGTCAAGGACCAATCTGGCATATTGATTCAAAATTGAAAAAGAGTCAAGTAATACCAGATCCCAGCTATAAGTGTTACAATAGCAAGAGGCAACATCTACATAGTATACTTTAGCTTTTGAAATGAAGAATTTGCCTAAACTTCTCATGGTAGAACAACACCCTTAAATCCACTAAAAAAGCCAAGTTTAGTAAGATTGAATGAAGAAATTACCTCTTTTTTCAGGATCTAAGGCTTTCTCAAGCTCAACATTCCAATTCAAAGCACATGCAGCAGAAATCTTCTCCATTTAAACAGTCCCCTATTGCTAGCTATAGAATTTATGGCCCCTCTACCAACAGCCATGCTCTGCAAAACACTGAACACCCAAAAAAGGTATTACAGCACTTAGATTTATTTACACAACATAGTCCATTAGGACACTAGAAGTATATTATTCTACAACTATCATCCAAAATCCATAAATCAAAGACGAGAAAAGCATACCATGCTAAAATGTACTTACATACATGAAATGGGATAACAGGAAAAGAAGAATAGAGGCAAGGAAAAGTGAAAGAACTTGAGAAAGTTTAAGAGAAGAACTTCAAAAAATTATTCACTATCCAATCATAATAAAAAAAAATAATCGTCAGGGTTTATATATAAAAATAATAGGAATTAAAAAACAAACTACGATATGAACCAAACCAACCTAAAAACAACTAATTTATAATTACGAATGATATTTTCTCTAAATTACTTACTATATTAATTCCACCATTTCTGGCTGGAAAGAACTCCAACCCTGCCTCTGGTAGCAAAACATAGCCTGTAGATACTGATAAAAAAGTTTAGGAGCCATGCAACACAACTCTTCTTTGGGGATCAATGAATTATATCTAGGAGAACCCCTCCATAAAAAAATTTAACCTAGTTTTTTTGTTTGGAAGTTAACCTAGTTTAATGAATATAATCATTAGTGGTTAATAGTAATAAAAAAAGGCAAAGTGACAGATTGCACTATGTCCCTGGTCTGATAAATGCATGTTCACTCAACAAGGCATTTTTGAGTTCATTACTAAGGCCTTGTGTGTTCAACTTATTCTTGCCATCACAAGAGTGTTCACTAAAATCCATAAAAGTTTTGAAAAATCAACAAGGTAACTTGAGAAAAAAACATAAGCTTCTGAAAAGATCAGTGAGAGAAGCAAAGCAAAGTTAAGCAGAATCCTGTGTAATAAACCCCAAGGCAGACATAATTACTACCAGATCAATTTAGAGAAAAGTTTAAACTCACTCAAAAGGGAAAAATAGAAAAGAAAGAAGACCCCCAGTTCAGCAAATAGAAAACCAACCATAGTTTATTAAAGCCCTTTGGAAACAATTTCATCATCCAAAACAGGAAGAAAAAGAAAAGGACAACTTGCTGTGAGCCATTAATTATACTCCAATAATTACCTTTACTCTTACAACATGTACAATCAACAAAGCATACAATTGCTTCTTTTTCTTTAATACAGGATAAGTTATCGTAAATGATACAACATTCCTTTCACAGACTACAACCACAAACCACAGGGCTCATTGGGAGTGCATAAACGAGCACTCGGATCCTGAATAAATGTTGAAATGCTTGCTCTTAATCCGATTAAAATAAACAATTTAATCCTTGGATATATTTTCCACTTAACTGAATCACCCCTAGGTCGTAAATAATTAATGAAGGAGGTGCTTTATCCATTTCTTAAGAACTTTAGGCAACCCATACCATGGTCTTAATGAATCATTTGCACCTACAGGAGAGTGATACACGCCATCTAAGCTAATATTAAGAGAACCTTCTAGATAAGCTGAAACTTCGGGAACAATTCCGTCACCCCATACATTCGCCCGCCCACACACTTGCTTATACCCATTTCCAACAAAGCGAGCACGCAATTTGACAGTACCAGAAGCCACATTAATGACAGCAGCTCCTTGAGAGGCGGCCTCCTCTACATCACTAGAGGTTCCAAATGCAGGTGCTCCTTGAATATACCTCCTGGCAACACACACATACTTAAATTCTGAAGTGTACACTGCTTTAGCACAATGTTCCTCAACATAATACAAGAGCCCCCTCGTCTGATCAATAACCCTGGAAACACCCTTAGGAGGTGGCATATGTGGAGTTCCAAGAGTCAACAACAACGACACATCAGACTTCCCGAACTCCTCCATATACACGCGCGTAAGCCACCCTCTAGCTGAATGCCCAATCAGCGACAACGCCCCACCACCCGCCACCTCACTCGCTTCATTCACAATATCAGCCACCCTCTTAAGGTACCATTCCCAAACAGGATGCGACTGTAGCATACCCTTCCAATAATTCACATCAGCTAAACCAGCATCATTCCTAAACCAATCTAACCTCAAAACCCTAGTTACAACACTTTTAACACCACCTCCAAATTTGCCCACAACTTATCGTAATCCCCCGAATTGCTCCCCAAGCCAGGGAGAATCACAGCAGGGCGAAGCGAGTCTGAGCACTAAATGCCCGATGCCACAGTGGGCGAGCACTGGCATTTATCCAATGACGGGTGGAACACCAGCGACGGAGGCAAGATTAGAGCAAATGCCATAGTTTCAACCACCAGCCGGATGTTTATTAGTGGTCCTCGGGGAACGCCGGGATTTATCCAATTATTTCGTTTTGGATAAAATTTTAATGGTGCAGTGAAAATGCTAACGCTAAACGCTGTCTGTAAATAGCCTTTTCAAAACGCTAAAGCTAATAGCTAACACTATTCCCAAAAAGACCCAAAATTAGAGCAAATGCATAGTTCCTCAGTAGTCCAACATAATTAATACTCCCTCCGTCCCCCTGTATTTGTCCACATTTGACTTTTGGAACTGTTCATCTAAGCACTTTGACTTATCAAATTCTCTCAATGTATAAGCCTAAATATAGTCATGTGTTATCTTGTTTGATTTGTCTTAACATATAGATTATTAATATATAATTTTTATAATTTTTTAATATACAAATTACAAGATAAAATGGATTAAAGAAGTGCATTGGATGGTGTGTAAAAATAAAAGTGGACAAATACAGGGGGACGGAGGGAGTAAATACCTTAATTATGTAAAGTAATATGTATAAATAGAGGGGACCTGGACGATGATCCTCAAGCAAAACCTAGCATATAACTTTGTAATTCTCGAGTTCTTTGATCAATAATATTCTTGCGATCCGTCCATTGAGTCAGATCATTCGGTGGAATTCTTGTCCATTAAATTGGTGCTCTCATTGAGAGCTCGAGAAATTCACTCAAGAAGAAACCTTCCATACAACCATGGTGCAACCCGCAGTGACGCTAATTAGTCCACCGGAAATCCTCCCCAAGGGGAGACTAGTGCCACCGAGGGCCGTCACCTCCCTATTAGCGTGACAGAGGCTGAGCTTCTCATCCAATGGATCAGGATCACGTTTGAACACTCAAGGAGGTGGTGGCGGCTCTAACCTAAAACTAGGAGATTGTGATGGACGACCTAACAGGGGCGCAGGCCGGGGGGGATGCCTGACCTACGAGATCAGAGGGAAAGAAAAAGAAAAAGACCCGGCGTTCCTGGAAGAGGAAGAAGGCGACCAAGCCTAACGGGAAGGCGATGGTAGAGGATGATCTGTTGAGGTTGGATGAGGAAGGTGACTTGTCCTCGTTCGAGTGGGCCTCCGCTTTCAATCGTCTGGGTCCCAGGCAGAAGAAACTGCGAACCTCCACGTTCAATCGGCTGCAAGATAACCGACCAGTCCAGAAGGGGGATCTAAGGGAAACGCTCCGGGAACGAAGGGAGGAGTCCTCGGTAATGTCCAAGGCCAAATTAGAGGGGAGACAAAAGGCGATCGAGAACAAGGATGCGGTCGAGCTGTGGAAAACGATTGAGTGACTAGAGAAACGGTTGGACGCTCGAAATCCCTATCACCAAGCAGTTTTTGATGAAATGACCCCCTTCTTAAAGAGGGTAATATCGTGCCCTCTTCCCAAAAATTTTAAGACTCATCAGATCAAGGCGTATAACGGGACGATCGATCCCCAGGATCATCTGGCACGCTTTCAGGCAAATATTGTCATGTATGCATGCCCAGAGGAGATTCAATGCCACTATTTCTTAGCAACTTTGGAAGGACAAGCCTGCGAGTGGTTTTACAAGCTAGTGAGGGGATGGATCGACGAATGGAAGGATTTGGCTCACAAATTTTTGGAATATTTTCCATGAAGCCGAAGACAAAAGCTCCCCTCCTCCCACCTGCTCAACGTCAAGATTTAAAAGGGAGAGCAACTCTTGGATTTCATCACCCGATGGGAAAAGGAGGCTAGGGACGTCCAAGGTGCGGACGACCAGGCTTTGGTCACTATGCTCCAAACGGAACTCCCCAGGGGATGTGCGCAAAAGCTGCGACGGAACCCGCTTCCTACCTACCAGGAGATGTTGGCTAGGGAGAAGTACCTGACGTTAGAAGATGATGATGATGAGGGAGGAAGGATTTTGGAAGGGGTCCAAATCTCACAAGTTATCAGGCGAGCAGGCCACCAGTTCATGCGGTCCAATCTTTACCAGCCCCTCCTCGCGGCTCGGGAGAGATACAGCATTCAGGATGCCCCAAAGTATTGTGAGTACCACCGTAACAGCACCCATAATATGTCAGAGTGCGTTACGTTGAAAAAAGAAAAGGACCAGCTGATAAAAGAAAAAATAGAGAAAAAAAGGGAAAAAAAACAAAAATTAACTGTAAAATGAGAAATGTGCTCCGTTGCCTTTGTCGTTTGGAAAATAGACACTAATACTCACTTTTCACCAAAAATTGACCAAAAAACATAAGGATGTGTGTGCAACAATTTGAAACGATAGAGATTTTAAAAATAAGTTTTGAAAATATATATAGTATTGTTACACATTTTTCAAACAACATGGCACACTCGAGCATTTGGCTATCATTCAAGAGTGGAGAGGTAGTTAACAACTAAGATAAAAATTAATTCTTGGCAACTGGACTAAGAAACGAGTATACTAAACATAAAGCCTTTATATGATAGACAAGTAGTGACGGACCTAGAAATTTTGGGCCGTGGGGTCGCGTCCGTGAGATATTTTACCAACAAACGACATGTCGAGCATTAAGTAAAAAAATACTTTCTTGTCACACTTTTGTCTCATTTCAATTTATAATGTTTAACTAAAGCATTTTTTTAAATTTATTTAACAATTGGAGTTGAATAGAAACTTAAAATTGTAGATTTAAAAGAACATAAAATATTTTATGAAACAAGAGATTTCACTAATGGTAACAAATATGTGTCTCTCTCCTCTGTCCCAACTGTAATTGAATAACTTTCATTTACTTATTCATTTTCATTGATTATTTAACAAAACAAAATATTTTCGTCACATCTTATTTTGCGAACCATTTTAGATTTTTTTATTACGTAAATTGTAAACCCTCTGTCGCAGAGTATTCATATACTTTGACTTTTTTGAGTTAAATTGGATTAATTTTAACCTAATGTTAGAATCACCACAGGCACACTCAATCTCTTTCCATTCTCTCAGCACATCCATGTAATTTCTTCCGCGTTTTGTACTATATATATAGTAACACTTTATTTCTACCTAAATATAAATAAATATTTATAAAAATTACAAAATTTCCATGGGGTCACCCCGTGTGACTCTACGTAGGTTCGCCCCTCAAACAAGTACTATTTTCGTTTCTGAGTATTTGTTCAGTTTTCACTTTTTTCACTCAAGTATTTTCAACAATTGAGATATAATTAAATAAAATATATATTGTATATTAATTAGATAAAATAATATTATAAAAATATTGTATATAATAAATCAAATGAAACTATTTTTATATTAATATCTAATATCATTTTTATTTAATTTGAGGTTAAAATTTACCGTTTTTGACATGAAAAAAAATCAAAAGTGAATAAATATTCAAAAACGGAGGGAGTGTATTTTAAGAATAAGATCTTTGTAAATATAAGATGCATACTTCAATCTTGACGTAATCACAATTGAGAAATTTACCTAAATAGGACTAAAACATAATGACTTTCCCAATATAGGACCATATGTTTTCATTTCCCAATCTAGAACCTTTGGTCATTATCAAGTAGTCATTATTCAACTAAATGTTCATGATTACAGGACATTATTCTTTCCACTAGGTCATTATTAAGTCCTATTTAGGGAATAAAAAAATTTAAGTCCTACATTAGAAAAGTCATTATGTTTTAGTCCTATGCAAATTTTACAATTATAATTTACTTTCATAGTTTATTATTCAACTATCCAATAGTTCATCCTTCACGGTGGGATAGGGGAGAGGAGCAGAAAATGGGACGGGTAAGTAAAATTTAGAAGAGGATTATGGTATGTGTATCCCAAGGTTTGTACCCCAATTTGTACTTCACAGTTTTGCACTAACACTTTGTGTTGGTGTAAAACTAATTTTTGTTAAACGCACCAACATTTGCGTCCGTGTGAATTTTTATTAACGCACCAACACTTGTGTCGGTGTAAACCATCGAAATGTTTGTGCAAACCTATGGTTACAAATGGGGTATATTTTTTGGTGTAAGTGTAGTATGGTATTTTAGAAGAACAACTGAACAAGAGAAGCACAATTGAAAGCAAGAAAATGACAAGTCATCAACTACGATAGAAACAGTGTCGGGTTTGGTCCGTACCCGGTCCCCACTCTACGTGCCCACCCGTTTCCTTCCCTTCCCCATCTTCTCTGTCACTGCGCAGATAACGGCCCGCAAAGCAAAGGCCTGCTTTGTGCATAAATCTACGTATATATACCCGCAAAAAGGAGCTTTGCCTTTTCAAAGCCTTCAAAGAAACGTTGAGCTTACTTCGGTCATCCGCCATTGAAGCTTCTTTTAGCACTCATCTGTGCTAAGAACAATTTAGAAGCTTCACTCACTCCTTGTACTATTTTTTCCCCTACAATTAGATATAGATACCATTGCTGCATTTTACTCCTTGGGATATATCCAAGTAGTTCCTTGTGTTCTTTTGAATTTGAGAAAATTTCCGGGTTGGGCTGAGTTTGGCAGAGGTGTTTTGGTTCCTGGTTGAATTGCTTGAAGAGCGAAAAATGGAGTCCATGGAATCGGGTCAAGCTAGGTCCGTTTTTTACGGAGCGACAGCTGGAGATTTCCGAGCGGAGCTCCAACAATTTGGCAACGACGGATTCCACGCCGGTTTAATGCCTGCAGTGGCGGAGGAGGCTGGAAGTTCGTTCACTGCACTGCTCGAGCTCCCGGCGGAGCAGGCGGTGGAACTTTTGGTTCACTCTTCGGAAACAGAAGCCTCACCTCCGGCGAACCTTCCTGAAATTGAATCGCGTAGAAATTATCGCCACGGCTTTCTACCGCCGCCTATTTTCCCTTCAGACGCAGCTTTGATTGACCGAGCCTCCAAATTATCTGTATTCGCCGGGAACTCGCCGTCTAATTCGTGCTCCATGACTCAGTTCTTGAAGCAAGAGCCAGTATATGCTGATCCAAACCCGAAATCTTCATCCCCGGACATTTCCAATCCAACTGTTTACCAGAAATCCACTAAACGGGAGAGGGAGAAAAAGGTAATTCTTAAATTAAACCCCAAATCCGGCTTCCTAGGTTTCTCAGTTTTGCAGAAAAAGCAAGTATTGAATCTGATGTTTTGAAACCTAGATTAAAGAGCCTTGCATGAAGAAGAGCAAGAAAGCAACTAAGAGTGCCACTGCAGAGGAAGGTGGCGAGAAGCTTCCCTATGTTCATGTCCGAGCTCGCCGCGGCCAAGCCACCGATAGCCATAGCTTAGCTGAGAGAGTAATACCTCTATAGTGATCATATCTTATCATAATTTAGCTCCTAACAGTGGGTTAATTGTGGTCATTGAATTCTATTTTTACCAATGCAGGCAAGGAGGGAGAAGATTAGTGCAAGAATGAAGCTTTTACAGGAGCTGGTCCCAGGATGCAACAAGGTTTGCTGTCATTTCATCATCGTTTATAAGTGTAGATTAATTCCTTAATTACTTGATTTGAGAAGAAATTTCTCTCTAATTTATGCATTAAGATAATTCTTAGTACGTGTGGGTGGTTGTCTCCCACTGTAACGAGAAAAGAAAGAAAAGTTAATGGCTTTTGCACCTAAGAAAGTGGGGAGCTTGGAGGATGAAATGTCTCTATCAGTACTCTAACTGTTGTTCCAACTTTTTGCTTCACATTGTCTCCAGCTCGTGAGATGTCTTTTCAATGGCCACCACTGTATATAAAGTATAAACAAACGCCTATACACATTATCTCCGTGTTTCCTTAACTAATTTCATAGTGACAAGATTAGTTACCTAATAATTTGGCTAGATGTTTTTCTTGAAGGATCTACCAGCTACCTAACTTTCCATGACCTTGATTATTGTCTTTAGGGGGCATTTGGTTCGTGCTCTATCATAACACGGGAGTACCGGACTAATGCAAAAGCGTGGATATGTCGTTTATATATTCACATCATGTTACCGAGTATATTACATCAAAAGTTCTACAAAATAAGAGGTGACATGAGTGTATTATTTTATCAAATCAATAAAGGAAATGGGCAAATAAAGATTGATATGTTTGACAACATGAATAGTTATAGGATGGAGGGAGTATAGTAAGCAACCAAGATCAAATATATGGTTCTGATTTCTTGACCTAAGGTTAGGTGACATGAGTGGTAAACTTAAAGTCTTTCCACTTATGTTTTCCATCTAAACAATAGAGGTAGCCGTTACTTTTGAAATTGATAAGTCATTGTGCAGCTGGATATTGCCAGCTAGAAGTGTCTTAAGATGACAGGGAGGATAATGATGTGCTGCTTTGAATGTTATACTTTAACTAACCATGGTTAGGTTGTAAGTTTTATTTCCGTGGGCCCTTTTGATAAATGATATCTTATCTATGATTAGTTATCTTCGAGGTTTGTATATGGAGTACCTCTATTATAACCAGTATTATGGAATGCACCTCTAGAGAAACCATTCTATATGAGTTATGTAATCCGGTTGAACTGTTAAGCCACACCTTAAAAGTCTACCTTCTTCATTAAATTTCCAGTCTAACTATTATGGTGTAAAAGAAATCTTTGGATTTCTAGTTCATATTTGTTTTGCAAGAATGTGAAATGTGACACTGCTCAATGTTATAGGTAGACTTTAATAGTTTAATCATTGTGAGCTACCGATTTATATACTGGAGCAGTTATAAGTTTCTCACAGTTAATGCAGAGGTAGAGTGGTAAAGTCCATTTTTATTCAATTAGCAATAATGCAATACTATGTTTGTCATGACCACTTTCTACTAAATTATTTTTCTACAATCAATTCCCTCTCTCTTCCCATTGGTGGTTTATAATTTTATCATATTATTTTTAATTTCGTTTTCAGATTTCGGGTACGGCAATGGTGTTGGATGAAATCATTAATCATGTCCAGTTCCTACAACGCCAAGTTGAGGTTAGAAGGAGAATGCCCCTTCTTACTTATCATGTTTGAACTCGATGTGTATTTTTGTAACATTCACGTAGTTATGTATGAGGGTAGTTACGTGTGAGGCTTAATTGATTTTAAATTTTAATTCATAAATATCTCTAAAACCGGCCAGTTACTTAGGGAAGGTAAATTGAGTTATAATTTTAGTCTGACAAGTAAAGAGTGAAATCTGACCTTGGTACGTGTAAGGGCTTCATGATGCGCATAGTCACCCTTGTCAGGAGTCAAACTTGGATAATACCTTTTTGCACCCATTCTTTGTTATCTAAGCTACGCCCCGACAATCATCTATAGATATTTTATTCTTTTTACTAAAACAGGGGGCTATTAATTTTTTTACTAGTTTGAGAGATGTGATGGCTGGTATCACATAACAGTGTACAGGCAAAAGGAACAGGACAGAGAAGGGGGGGGGGCGGGGCTGTTATGCATGTGAGAAAGAGAAAAATGTTTGCTACCTACTAAAAAACAAAGT